TTAAGGTCATATCGCTAGGTTGAAGAGGAGCACTTAGCTTAATGAGCGCTTCATATTATAAAGAGTAACCTTTTGGACTGCAAGGTTAGGTGAAAGTCATTAGTCTAGTGAAAGTCATTACTACCTATCACAAAATTAAAATGAAAGCAGCTCTGAAGATATTTTTGAGCACTACCAGTTTCCCTTGCAAAAGTTTTCCTCTTTCTCTTCTATTGAGATGACAGAAAAAAATTCTGTCATATAGTTTTACATTGTTTTAATGTCTTAGTTTATCAAAAATTACTGGGAAGTTTTAACAACAATTTTTTGGTTAACCCACAAGATTCAAAATGAATTTGGAAGACTATTCATAAATGTAAGTATAAATCTAATAAAATGTCTTAGTTTCAGCATAAGCAAAATAAATGCCATTAGAAAATATAGATTTGGCTAGGTTAATAAATGTGTGCATATTATTTTCCAGAAAATATGTTTTTAAGTTCTTAGTTGCGAGGAACATAAGCTAAAAAATAACAAAATTACTATAAGGATGTAGACTATCTTAAGGAACCAGAGAAACCGTGCAGCAAAGGGAAGGCTCAGAGAATTAAAAGTGTGAGGGAGCTCTGCATTTGGAGTCTTTTCTTACATACTGACTAGCTTTCATTCCTCAGGTTGCCTTCTCTGTTCCTTAGCTGAACTTGGTGGCTTTGAAGCTTCAAGACTTACATGCTATTAGTGAATCAATCATAAAAGTAAACTTTTTTCATACCAATTCCATTTAAAAAAATCATTTAAGAAACAGGATCCCACTATATAGCTGGAGCTGGCCTCGAACTCACAGAGATCTGCCTGCCCCCGCCTCCTGAGTGCTGGGACTATAGGTATGGGCTCCAATTCCAAGGTTTTTTTTTTTTTTTGGTCTTTTTCAGACAGGATCTCTCTGTAGCCCCAGCTGGCTTGGAACTCACTACGTAGACCAGGCTGGCCTTGAACTCACAGAGCTCTGCCTGCCTCTGCCTCCCGAGTGTTGGGACTAAAGGCATGCACCACCATGCCTGCCTCAATTTCAAAATTTTAAATCTGTGCTTATCTTTCGCTTAAATTAGCTATAGCCAGATGAGCCAGCTTCTCTGGTAAAACATGACTGGAAGAGGCTATCCCTGAGGTCAAGGAGTGTGTTTGTAGGGAGAGTCTTCAGAGAAAACAAAGGGGTTATTGATTCATTAGCTGGGCATAGATCCTTATTAACTCCCTGGAACTTCCAAATGCCTCTTTGTAGGGCTTATGAACCCACCCACCCAATACTGGCATCAGGAACTTCTCTTGCTATAGTCACTAAACCTCTAAAAAAAAAAAAGAATAAATTACAGAGTAAAGATTTTGTGAAGGAAAGTGAGACAGGAGCTAGCTTCCCTTAAGCAGCAAAGAAGGGTCTGTGGTGGAAAGATACACCTTACATAGAACCCATAATGCTGATTAACTGATTAGAATTTCAATGGATGTGGAAAGACTGGAATGTTCCAGGTTCAGAACCTAATTAAATTTATTTGGGGCTATTTTTAAGCCCCCCTTTAAAGGCATTTCTTGCCCATCCTTGTGTCTGGCCTAATATTCTTGTGACTAACAGGTGAAACCTTTTTCAGTGTATTAACTTAGCAGATCACTAGCTTCTACCAATCCAAAAGGTAGGAATGTCATCAGATAGCATCTGAGTCCTATAGCAGAAATTTCTCCACTTTGCTGTAACCCGCAGTAATCATTTCATTTCTGTTGCTGTGACAAATACCTTGATCAATAACAACTTTAGAAGGAGAAAGGTTTATTCAAAAGTTTACAATTCCAGGTCACAGCATCATTGAAGAAAGTCAAGGCAGGAACCTGAAGGCAGGCCTGCTTGCTATTCCACACAGAAGGAATTCACTTCACTTCCAAGGAAATATGGCAGGAACTATAGCGGGTAATGCTTGCTGGGTGGCCTGCAGGCCAGTTGACACTTAGCTAGCATTCTTATGTCATTCTGGATCACCTGCCTAAGGATGGCAATGTTGGAGTATCAATAAACCTCATAAATTGAACTGGTCCAGACTATAAAAAAATGTCTAGTCTATCTGTTGGAGGACCCACTTTTCCAGTCTCACTGGTCAATTACCTGGTGATAGAATCACTCCCAGGAAGGCAGGTTTACCTCAAATTATGCTAAATAGATAGGTGGAATACCTGGTGTATTATTAAGGTAGTATTTCCTGCCTGGAACTAGCACAGATCTCTGCAGAACTTCCAGACCAGCCACAGCCATGTAGGTCTCTGTTAGTCTGTCCACTTTCCTGAACTCTTCAGGAATGCATAATTTCTCCTTTTCTTCTTCATGCCTTTCTTACTACAAACATGTTTTCTCTAAGGCTTTGGGCTGCCCCTAGCATCTTGTAGTTCTTCGCTTTTTCTCTAAAGCTTCCTTCTCCCAGCCATGTGGCTGTGAGTCAGCCACGTCTGACCTCCCTCCTAGGCTCTAAACCTGCATGGCTTCCATGGCTTTCTTTCCTTCTTCCCACTATTCACCTCCTCAAGGCAGCTGCCAAGATTACCAGCTCACCTCCCCTGAGGATTTTTTAAGATTCTAATAAAATTGTAAAAGCTTTTGTTTGGGTCCATTCTTAAATTCTTTTATGAATATTAAGAACCCTCTAGGGACCCTCTTTCTCCCCATTTCAGCACCACCAACAGTGATAACAAGAGAATCCCCCACAGGCCAATCTGATCTAGGAAATTCCTCAGTTAAGAAGACTGTTCTCAGGTGGTTCTTGGTTGTGGCAGGTTGACAATCATAACTAGCACATCTGCCCACCTGATGTTTCCACCAACGAATCTAGAAAGTGTCTTGATTCATGATTTCCTTTTGTTACTGTAAAAACTTTATGAAACGGTTACCACATTGGAACTGCATGAAATTTGGGGTAGCCTGATTCTGTGTTCCTGGGCAGTGGTTACTCATATTTGACTCCAGAAATCTTAAGATGACAGTGGTGTTTTTATGTCTACTATGACTAGGGAGACAGAATCCTGCTATGTAACTCAGCCTGGCCTCTAACCTGTGATTCTCCTGGCCATTAGAGTACTTTAAATCCATGTGGTGTAAACACACACACACACACACACACACACACACACACACACAGTGGACCATCACCTCTTGAGGCAGAGTTACTGTGGTGACCTATAGAAGACCCTGACCTTGGCAACAAAGTAAGCTGAACAATAGAACATATAACTAGGTCTATAGTAGTGATAAGACTATGGTACTAGAGCTATGGACATTCCCTCTTGGAGGATTAAGACCTACAAAAGACCTTCTCCTGAAATTCCAGTCACTGCACCTCCTGCCCAACTGCACAAAAGTAGATAGGTTTTAAAAAAACTGATTTGAGTGGACTGTAAATATTTTATGTGTATGAGTGTATTGCCTGCATGTATGTGAGTGCATCCGTGTTGTGCAATGCCATGGAGGTCAGAAGAGGGCTTCAGATTCCCCTGGAACTGGAATTAAGGTTCACAGCCACCATGTGGGTGCTGGGAATCTAACCCAGGTCCTCTACAAGAGCAGTCAGTGCTCTTAACTGCTGAGCCATCTCTCCAGCCCTTAGGTGGGACTTTTTAAAAAATGACATTTATTTATATTTAATAAATATAAATACAAGCTAGGATGTTTGTGGATGGATGTCTAGCATGTGTAGAAATAGTAACCAACAGAAGGATGATTTTCCCCTATTTGCTGACAGTGTTCTTAGAAAGTACTTATTAGCAGGAAAAAGTGGCTTAACACTAGCTTCAAATATACTTTGGACAGCAAATGATAGGTAAAAGTTATTCAATTTAGTTATTAAAGATAAATTCAGTGACTTTTCCACACTATGAAAATGGTTTATGACATTGCCACATAGCATATCAAGCTTTAACTTTTTTTGGAAGAAAAGTTAACTGATGCTTTGTGTACACAGAACTGAGGCTATTGTTTGGCAATGCTGGGTGACATCAACATCCATTTGGAGATGTCTCAGTCTACAATTTTAAACATACAATCACTGTAGCATCCAGTAATTCTCCTTCTAAGTAGATAATCCAAAGCAGAACTGAAAGAAGGGGCTTGGAGCAGGTACTTGTACCCAACACTTATTATTTTAGAAGCATTCTTTTGGGTTACAGAATAAAATATTTTGCTAAGATGAACTGTGGCTTAAAGAAATCAAATGTGGGGCTGGGAGCTTAGGGGTTAAAGCACTTGCTGCACAAGTGTAAGGACTGGAGTCCAGATCCCCAGAAACCCACATAAATGCCAGGTGGACATAGTGATGGTAATCCCGGTCTGGGAAGGACATGAGAATCCCCAAAGCAAGCTGGCTAGCAAAACTAGTTATATCTGTGGACTCTGGGTTTGACTGAGACATGGTCTCGATGAATAAAGTAGAGGAACAACCCTGGATGATTCCAACATCAACACTGGGCCCCCAACTGCACATCCCCCCCACACACAAAAGGAAAAAGAAAAAACAAAAAAATCCAAATGTGACATAGCTGGATCTAAACTCATGAATCATCACAACATTGGGTACCATGAAACTGACAAACTGGCTTTTAAGGCAAATTACAGTACAGTTCTCTCCTTACCTAGTAACTTTCTGCCATAAAGCATATTAATCATAGATACAAACTGTACTGGGTGTTCTGATCTCATCTATCAGAATAAAAGAAAAAACCAAAAAAGCTATACACCAACATTTTACATGAAAGTCCACGATTTACACAAATGACTTTATTCTGGATTTATAAATTTAGACAATTTAGTTAAAATTGTACATGACAAAGGTATTAATAGAATATATTTCCCTATTTTGATTTCGTGATTATTGAAGTAACAATATATGATTATTATTGCAGTAAAACTTGTTAGCAAGCCTTACACCTGGTATTAAAAAGTATTTAAAATCAAAGCACACTTAATAGAAAACAATGAAAAACATCATTTGTTCTAACAAAATTTATTATGCAGTAATTACAAAGATTAAAGGCTTCCATCTCAAATAAAAATAATTGTTATAATTACACACATAATAGAGTATCTTATAGAGTGATTCCAATAAATGTCACAGGAAATACAGTGCATTTTCAAATTGGAGAGACAAATACTTTCTCATTCACAGTGTTTTACATAGCAAAGGATGTCCACATAATAATTTGTATACAGTCATGCTCTTAGTAACAGTCCACACAAAGCTGTGCCAGCACAATTCTTTCAGAATGTGAAGTACCGGGCAAACCACTCCTGGCGCTGGGGATCTGGAGAAGCCACCGGGGAAGCTTCACTCTGAGGAGGACTGAATTCATAAAAAGAGAGACATGGAACCCAGGATTAAGTGGTTTTGCAACATAAAGGGAAAAAGCTAATAAAATATCAGCATAGATTACAAATGGCTCCCCATGTCAGAGGCTGTGCTTAAAGCCCGGCTATTCCCTCTACACTAGAATCAGTTCTCCACAGACAGCTGGACAGCCGGAGGAGCACCAGCAGCTCAGATGAGCTCAGCTACAGAGGAGCCACATCATAAACACTCCAGAAATCTGAACAAATGAGCAACTGGCAAAAGCCAAGTCATCACCTTTGAATTTTAAAAAACGGAGGAATTGAGGAAAATGAAAGGGAATGAGATAATGTTCCTCTCTTTTAGCACCTTTTCCCTTTTAATTAAAATTTCAGAATCTGACACAAGCATCTGATTCTCACATATCTATCCTTCAACTAAAGTAGGCAACTAAATTAAGATATACAATTTTTCACTATTTGCACATTTATATTAAAGTCCCATAATCCCATAAGCACATATTCCAAGGAGTGCACTGAAAATCTAATTTTCTTCTATTTTCCAAGTTATATAACTTATCTTAGTTCTAACTAAAGAATCCTTGGGCTACTTAGGAAAACAGAAGAATCCCTACCGTCTCGGGGGGGAAATGACAAGGCACGCAACAATGTGTAATGGAAACTCCAGTAGTCATGTTCCTTGAGCTCATGCACATGCATCTTACTGATACCTGAACATACCCATGCACAAGGGGAAATAAGCAACACAAAGCATTTAGCAGGAGACACAGTCAGACAAGTATTTGACTAGTTTTCATTCTGTCTAATTTTTTTTCACCATTTAAAATGATTAGTCATTAACGATGTCAGAAATCACTTTGCTTAAAAACAAAACCACAAATTCCATTTGTAAGACTTACTACTGTTCATTAGTAAAAACAACAAGTAAATTTAAAGCAGGAAAAAAAATCACTTGTAGTAAAGAGAATAAAACAGAACTTTCTGACTTTAATTGTATAAATAATTGCGTTTCATTCAAAATTCACTTGTTAATATATTTAATGAACTCTGAGGTAACTTAAAAGTAAAATGTTAATTTTAAAACCTATATTTTGTATGTTTATTCTCTATTTAACTATATAACTAACTTCTCAGAGCTTAGTATTTTTAATTTGGTAATATGCATATATACTTATTAATAAGCATGATAAGAAAGGAAAATATATAACATAAAGAAGAAAAAATTTTTTGAGACAGGGTCTCCCTGTAGCCCCAGCTGGTCTGGAACTATACAGACCAGGCTGGCCTTGAAGTCACAGAGATCCACTTGCCTCTGCCTCCCAAGTGCTGGGATTAAAGGTGTACACCACCACCCTGGCAGGGAAGAAAAATTTTAATAAATAAAAGTTATTTTAAATAAAAAATAAATTATTTTAAAGTTTTGCAGACTATTTTAAAGCTCTGCACTAATAAAAAAAGTTGGTAATAATACTAGAAATGAAGTACCTACCAATACTAAATTCTGAGCACATGAATCTGTGAATCCCTCTTTCAGTATTTAGAAAATTCACAAGTGATGAATTAGAAAAAAAATTTTTTTTTGGACAGAGTCAAAACAGAATTCTCTCAAGAGGTGATAAAACATTTTGAAAATATTTCACAACATTTTTTAGATTCTTAGAATAGTGGATTTCTGCAATGCAAAAAGGCAAATTTCTCAAGTTAAAAAAGAAGAAAAAAAAAAACAATGGTGAGACGGGGCTCACCTCAAAAATGCCTTGGGCTCTTTGGGTGGTATTGGCTGTGGAAGTGGTTTGCTGCTGTTGAACTCAATATCGTGGACTGGAGAATTAGGAATGGGATCCAGGCGGTTAGGATGTCCATTGCCCATTCCACTGGATTCCAGAGCACTTAGATTGGGAACACTCACAAACCTGTTTGTTGGTGACTTATCATTCTTCTTCTTTTGCTGCATTAAAAATAACACATGTGAGAATATTCATTCCCTGCACAAGGGCAAATGAGAAAATGGGAATAGTAGGAAATATAAATTTGGCATGGAAAAATTTTGGAACCTTTGTGTCAATTATGATTTTAAAATTAACCGGTGTTACCCAAAGTGTGGTCTGGGGATCCTTGAAAGTGTTTATCCATATGGAATCCTTAAAGATAGACATGCCCCCAGGACAAGAATGAGGAAGGAATGACCAGGGTAGTTCACTTCTAATCTCCAATCACTAATTGTAAAATTACCAAGAGAGAAAGAGAATCCTGGGAGGAAAAGGGGACAGAGAGGAAGGAGAAGCCCTTGCAAACAGTACAAGCTTAAGTGGGTTTAGGCTAAAATTAGGAGAGGAGTAATGTTAAACAGAATTTTAAAAAGAGAGGTCCATGAACTTTGTCATCTGTCAAAGGGAGGCTGTTCTTGCCTGGAGAAAAAAAGGAATGAGAAAATGCTTGGCATTGTAGTTTGAAAGAAACCTCATGTTTCTACTTAAGGCACAATTAAAATAATAATTTGCTTTTAAATTCATTGTGACATCTTTCTGGGAGAGAAAATTAAATCTGCATAATTAAGTCTATATTTTCTAATTAATTGGCAATATCATTAACTCATAATTTAAAGGCTATAAGACAAAGTAACTATTTTTTGGGAGGGGTCTCTTTTGCCTCAGGGTCTCCCCCTGTAGCCTGGAACTATGTAGACCAGGCTGGCCTGGGTCTCATATAAAGTTTCACCTGCTTCTGCGTCTGTCTCCCGAGTGCTGGGATTAAAGGTGTGCACCACCACACCCGGCTAAAATGTAACAAATTATTAATGATCAATCAGTATTTAAAAAGAACAGAAATAAGAGGAAAATAAATGCAGACTCAAAATTTATCAGCTTGAAAATCATTCACTTTAGTCTCTGAGTATTTCATTCCTGCTTCTAGAATCAGTGAGCATCAACTTTTATACAAAATAAAAAGTAATGTTATAAAATACTGAGAATATTCTCACATTTTTCCAATTGGATGTATGTTAAATTCACAATTTTTTCTAGCAAAATTAGTTAATTTAAGAAAATGCAAATAATATGCAAGAGAGAACTTTTGCTTCACTTATAATCTCTCCGTGGACATTTTTCTGTGTCACAGGATTCACAGAGTCTATGCGACAATCTAGTTTTAGCATCATCAGAAAGACCAAGGGACAGTGATGGGACAGCTGCTGTACAACTATGTGTGAAAACTGGAGTCACTATTAGGAGTCAATGGAAGCTGGCAAGTTCTCACAACATTATATATTTTGAATTTTCTTATTTTAGTCACCAGATGGCATAGTCAAATCCATTTAAGTTTTCTTTTTAAGAAATCAATTATATCACTGGTAAAGTTCTAAAGAGTGTTTTAAAGATAAATAATTTAATTCTGATAAAATAAATGCAAAATTAAAAAAAATTTATTTACTTAAGTTTTAGAATCTTCCTTACCCTAAATTATCAATTTTAAATTCAGAATTAAAGCCAGGCATGGGAGCACACGGCTATAATCCTAGCAAACAGGAGGTAGATATAAGAGGGTCAGGAGTTCAAGGCCAGCCAGCTTTGGCTGTATGGAGAGTTTGAGGGAAGACTACATTTCATGAGACTTTGTCTCACAAACCAAACCAAACAAAAACAAAAACAAAAACACCCCACAATTAGTTCTGTTCATCCATTCAATTATTTATTGGGAGCTTTCTATGTGATGTCCTAGTGATACAACCCGATTCCTTTAGTCAGTCTATTTTACAAAATATTCAAGTTCAAAGTTTGGAGCACTGTGACAAAAGTATTTGGGAGCTCTTATCTATTTTTTTTTTTTTTTTTTTTTTTTTTTTTTTTTTTTTTGTGACAGGGTCTCACTATGTAGCTATGGCTGGCCTGGAACTCCTTATGTAGACCAGGCTGCCCACATCACAGTGATCCCCTGGCCTTTGCCTCTGGAGTGCTTGGATTAAAAGCATGCACCACCACGCTCAGCCTATTTGATGTTTTTTAACAGAAAAGTTTTATGAGCTTTGAAAACAGAATTTCTCGGTAAGGGCCTAGCAGAAATTAGCATAATGAGAAGTAATAAAATATCAATTAAAACTAGCTTCTGCACAAGAACTTTATTATTGATTTCTCCTGAGACTCATAATCCATGTGAAATGACTATATACAATTATTTATTCATAACTTTATTTACAGAATAATCTGTAGTAACTTTAAAAAATGGTAAGTTTTTGCAATTCAATAATATGTATCAAATACCCACCCTACCTACACACAATGATTAGGGGTGTGGGGGTACAATGATGCATACAACTTAGCCATGTCTATTTCAAGGCTCTTCTATTTGTTCTAAGAGAATACAGAAGCAGAACAGGCCACACAATCTAGATTGCCAAGAACAGTCATGAAACTGAAAAGTGGAGCTTACAGGTTCACCTCCAGTACCCTTATGATGGCAGGGCTGGAGCTATGGAGACCTGCTCTGGGGCTAGGGTGTTTTTGAACACCACAGAGGATTGTGATCAGTAAGGAAATGGCAATAAATTAACTTAAGGAGAGTTGAAAGTTTACTTTTCCTTAGAACATGAAAAACAAAAAGATATAGCCAAAGTTTTACAATATCTACTTATTTTTATTTTTCAGTCTTTTTGAGATAGGGTCTCCCTGTAGCCCAAGCTGGCCTGGAACTCACTATGTAGACCAGGCTGGCCTCGAACTCACAGAGATTTGCCTGTCTCTGCCTCCCGAGTGCTGGGATTAAAGGCGTGTGCTACCATGCCTGGCCAGAAAGTTTTACAATATTAATAAAATATTTTCAGGCATATAAATGAGCATCTCATTCTCAAAATGAACAAATAAAGAACTCACAAATTTTAGAGGGAGATTATTACACATAAGAAAACATTTTGGGGGGAACTTTATCTTTATGCTGCTCTAAGTAATTGAGCAAATTTTTATTAAGTTCTTAAGTATGTCCCTACTTTACCGTGTCTACAGCACATACCTTAGTCAATGGGTTAATAACACCAACAGTAGGACTTGTGTTAAATATTTTGTTGAAGTTAGTTTCTCGATTGACTAATTCCAGCTGATAAAATTTATTATCCTCCTATGCAAAAGAATTATAAACATCCTTTCAACATTTTCCGTTGCATATTTACAAACTTAATTGTCTAAGTGCCATTTCATTCACAATTTTATATGAAACATAAAGTTTTATAAGTCTTGTTAAAAAAATTTCTACACGTGATTGCCAGTATCTTAAAGGCTGGTAGCAATTAGTATTCAACACCCTTTTTTTTTTTTTTTTTTGGTTTTTTTGAGAAAGGGTCACCCTGTAACCCCAGCTGGCCTGGAACTCACTATATAGACCAGGCTGGCCTTGAACTCACAGAGATCCACCTGCCTCTGCCTCCCAGTGCTGGGACTAAAGGTGTGCACCACCATGCCCTGCTGTGTTTAACACCTTTTAAACCCTATGCCCAGGGGCATGACCCTACCCTTTAAAAGCTCTTCCTTGAAGACTGGATCTACCAAGATCCTATCTCTTTGAGGTGCTGATTGTGGTATTTGAGTGGGTCTAACTTGTGCTTGAGGGACTGGGTACAGGTAACTGTCCTGGCAAGAGGAAGATATTCTAAAAAGACACATGCCTCTCCTCTTGGCTATTATACTATTGAAACAACGGTACTCATGGAACTGGAATTTTCCCAGGAGTCTCATGCTCAGAGAAGGAAAAGGCCTGGGGACTGCAGTAACCAAAAGATTTCAAACAATTCTGACAAGTTATCAGACCACCTTGTAGGATGGACTGGATCCAAGGCAATGCTAAGCAGAACTACCTAGCTAATGCATACTCCTTGTCTTGTATTTAGAATTTGGCCTCATGGTAAGACCTCAAAGATGGACATGGGGTCAGAAGAGAGGGCCATTAGACCTTTGTTCATTTAATTGGCCTACTGAGGATGGGTGGCCAAGCTGCCTTATTAGCCTGCCTGACCTTAACAATCCCGGAAACATGCATGGTTGAATTGTTTCCATATATGAAGAATCTATCATATGCTATTCTTCAGTACCTAAAAATGGATTGGATCTTGTCTAGTCTTTTTTTTTTGAGACAATAATGTATTATAGCAATGGTAAAAGAAAATGTGAATGGCCTTTACAGAGATAAAACCTTTCTTTTGAAGTCATGCGTAAGATGTACTAACTCAACAGCCAGACTGGGAAGGCCACAACAGATAGCCTGGGTGAGAACACAGGAGGTGCTGAGCTAGAGTCCAGTGTAAACTATAGAACTAGACTCTTCATAACCCTCTGAGTTAGCACCGATTATCATTTAAATCACCAGTCTTGCCCCATCTGCCTCTTGAGGTCCAGGGAACCACTGTTTTATAGAAACAATGTGGAATAACCCTTGGCCACATTCCTCTTGTGTGAGGATAAATACAATTGTATCTGTAACATCTCAAGTAAGAACTGGAAAATCAATAGTTATTTGTGGGACACAGGTGAAATGCACTTACTATGCTTGCTCACTTCATGAGTGAAATAGCAATTTTCCATGACTCTATTGCTGTCAGACAGAGCTATCTACGGGCCAGCACTCATGTGGAGTGCACAAGGCTTGAAAAAATGGGTGACTGGTGGATTGAAGCAACACGGGGCACTCTCTCCACACCCTGTTCCTGGGTGCCCTCTATTGACCCTCATCTACAATGATGGTTTCAAAGAATTCCAAGTCCAGAAAATACATGGAATTTCCTAAATCCTAAAATAATTTTAAAGAATGTCAGAAATAAACATTGGTTTTGTCCTGTTTACAAGGTAATATGCAAGTTTTTTTTTAATAGTTTACACTGTATTTCAGTAAGCCCAGTTTTGGTTAAAGAGAGAAAAGAATTCCCAAACAAAACCTTGCTAATATACAAAACTAAAAATCTAAGTATTATCAGAAGTTTACAGTTCTAAATGGGTGCAGCAGATATCAACTGACTCTCATATACGTAATAGTACACACTGAGTAGTCTTTTCTCCTCATACACACACACACACACACACACACACACACACACACACACACACACACACACACACACACATATATGTATATATATGTATGTATATATACACCAATTACACAGTTTTTTCTTTAACAGCTTCAGATCCCCCGAGGGGCTGCACCATTCCTGGAGTTACTGCAATACCAGGTCAATGCGTAGAGTAGATGGAGCAAGCTCCTATTCTGACTCCTAGTTCCAAAAATTCATTTAACATATTGTCCTCGGATAGAGGACATATCAGATACTAAACTGATAAGAACAGATACTATACTTGATCTTAGCCAAAATGCCGAGAAGCGATAAATCCAAGGTTTTAGCTGAAGACATTAATGAGCATATAGATGATTAATGTTCTATTTTTACTTTTACTATGAAAGACTTTCATTTATTAGTGATAATACAAAGCAACATTTAAATTACTGCATTTTAGAAAATTCTGCAATGTTTTATAAAATTTCAAACATTTGTATACTTTTTTTCTTAAGTAATATCGGTTTTAATGAAGGTAGTATATTTATTGTTAAAATTTTATTTTCTTCCCAGATGATGTTCTCGGTGCCCTTCACACTTCTGCATTCCTGACTTCCTGGGATAGCATGCAGCTTTTCTTAGGCTGGACCACAGAACCTGTTTTTGTTCATTTGTTTTTTGTTTTTTGAGACAGGGTCTAGCTATGTGGGTCTTGAATTTGGTGTGTGGCTCAAGTTGGTCTCAACTCAAGATCCTCCTGCCTCAGTCTTCTGAGTACTGGTACTACTCAGCATTTCTCTGGATCACTGTTTGGTGGAATACATTTTAGAAATTCACATGATTAATTTGAGACAGGCATGGTGATGCATGCCTGCAATCCCACCCATCTGAGGCTGAGACAGGAGGAAGGCTGCAAACTGAAGAGCTCCAAAACATGACCCTGTTTCAAAATAAAACAAAGCCAAACCAAACAAAAACCCATGACTAATCTGTAAGTGATCAGCACAGGCTCGTACATGGATATGTTAGTTTTCTAATTATATCCATAGAATATGCATACCTATGTACAGCCACATGTCAACTGTTTAGTGGCAATGATATATTATTAAACATTCAATGTATCAAAAAGAACTATTTCTTTTTTAAAAAATTGAAGATAAAACACAATTCCCTTATTCTAATGGCAAACTTCAATTTGAAGATTTCCTTGTATTTCTTACCCTCACTCAAACATTTTAATAAACTTCTATCACATATTTTGTACTTTTCATTTCCATTTAACATTATTTAAACATATTTCCCCAGGTTTCAACAGTTTATCGACTTCTAATGTGGTTGTATTAAAAACAAAATGTCTTACAATTAGCTTCTTTATGACCTGGTCTCTCTCTGTAAGCATGGTTTTTAATTCTGCAATCAGCTGTATATCTTCTGGCTTCGACTCTCTCATTTGATATTTTTCTTCCATTTCTTCTAGTCTATAAACAAGAAAACCTTTATCTCACTGATGTGACTTAGATACATTCTGTTGTAATAAATACCTATGATTTTTGATGAGTCCAGTTAAACACACACAAATTTAATATAAGATTTCTAAGCATAATAACATGATTTCCTCAAGAGCTACAGTGTTAAAGGCTTCCCGGGAGTAGGTGATACTAAGGGCTTCACAGTTAGTTTTGGAAGAATTTGTCCATATTAGGTCATTGAAGAAAGGGTGAATAAGGTGAGGTAGGCTCTGCAAAAGAATGCTGAAGCTGAATGACACTGACTTTACGAACTCAGGTGTGATGCTCTTAGAAGCTGAGTGCACTGTCAGGAGAGGTTACCACAAATACAATACTGAGTGATAAGGCATGATAACAAACATATATGAGGGGCAAGAAAAGGCACAGGAGAAAGGAGAATAAAAGACACCCATGAACGATACCATCCTGTCCTGGTTTATGGGGAATACAGCCTAAACATTCTGTATTACCAGCTAACACAGACACATTGTAAAAGGCTCATCAGATAGGAGAAGAACTCGATTTCCTTGTAGATCTACTCTCTCCTAAATGACAGGGGACGGATGCCACTGAAGACTTAAATAGGCCACTTCTTGTAAGCAAAGGTGACATGGACCTGCAGAGACTAGGAATGGAAACAGGGCAGATTAAAAAGAATACAAATGAAAACTGCTGGCTTAATTTGAAAAAAAAAACTTTCACTTTGAGAAGTTATAATTAGAACAATTAATTTTTATTATTTTCAGAAATAACAAGGTAGAACAAAAACTACTGAAGAAATACTATCTTCTAGATAACTTGCCATCTAGATGCTAGTGCCATGTCATTGTCCCACCAGACAAATCCTAGAGGGGTAGAGAATCTCTTATTTCGGTGTCATAAAGCCTGCCACTAATTCAGTTTGGGTAAAAGATCTGCAAAACTAAGTCTTGACTGATGTGCTAATCCAGCAGGTGAGGAGGTCAAGGGTGACAGGGAAATGAGGAGTTAGAAAGTCACTCTCTCAGACTAAGTTGTGGCTGTCCCAGGTCAGCGTAAAGTTAGTCATATGATATATTTAATTACTTTATGCCCTCTTTTATGACAGTGCATGCTAAGTGAAAAATAACGAGATCCTTTGAAGTCACAGGGTAACCTTGCATTTTTATTTCAGTATGGAAAGATTTACCTGCATGCATTTTATGCGCCAAGCTCTTAAGTAGGTTAATGGTCAGTGATGACAAGGGTAGTGTGGAAGGGCAGCAGCAGGAAAAGAGAAGAGGAGGAAAGGGAGGAAGAGGAGGTGGGGGAAGGAGGAGGAGGAGGAGGAGGAGGAGGAGGGGAAAAGTCATTTAGGCTTGGGCTTTATGCTGGAGCAGCCACAAGGGGTCACTGGAGTACTTGCCTTTGGGGTTTGAAGCAAAGTACAAGATTGTGAGGCTGCTTCCCACAGATGAAATACATGGTAAGATGGTAGAAATGGTAGCTATCCATCCCCTGACCCCCATACACTTAAAACCTTATTTATCTTTGTTGTAGAACATTAGCAGGTAAAGTGAATCTAAAACAATAATTTACAATCTTGGCACCTCCTTTTTGGTATAGTTATCTTGAACCTATGTTCAAATGCATGTTTTTATTTAGCCAAAAATATTCTTTACTTACAGATTTATTATCAGATAATCCTCCTCACAAAATATCTTTACATCATAAAAAATTTTAGTAATAAGACTAGGTAAGAAAGAGGAAAAATTTTGACAAGAAAGAGCCTATAAATACAAACGGGAAAGCATTAAAGGAGAGAACAGCATGAAGCAGATGTGACTCACAAATAGGCTTCTAGAATTACTCTTCTTCAGAATTCTAATAGGAAGAAAACTTGGCGCCATTCCAATATCTACTTCAAGGCAACACTAGTTAATATCTTCTTCCCTTTTTTCCAGCTCTCTAAACCAGCACTGCTTCTCAGGGGTGAAGCACAAAGAATGACTGGTCATCAGGCAGTGAGGAGAGGATTCTAATGTTTGATTTTAATATATATATATACATATATGGGTTGAAGGTGAATTCATAGAGATACTCCTACTTCCTAGTGCTGGGATTACAGGCAGGCGCTACTCATTCCCAGCTAAACTCTAATCTTCTTGATCACAAGGTATTTGGTTCTATGTATCTTTTTAAAAAGGTTTACTTATTTATGTGCATTTATGTGTGCCTGTGAAAATTTATGTGCACCATGTACATGTTTTCCTGATTCCAGCAGAGGTCAGAGGGCATCAGATGCCCTGGAAGTGGAGTTACAAGCACTTGTAAACCCCTTCATGGGGTGCTGGGAACCAAACCCAGGTCCTCTGGAAGAGCAGGAAATGCTTGTAACCATTGAGCCTTCTTTGCACCCCACGGGTCTATATATCTTATATGACCTTTATAACATATGCTTTGACCCTATTTCATAATAGTCGGACACTCTGAGCATCAACAGCTTAGCTAGAATTTTATTTTCATAGAATTTACAGATTCTCATTAAAAGGAAAGAAAGATTGACTAGAAAGGTGAAGCAGAACATGGAAGTATTAATTAGGGTCACGCTGGATTCTCACCATGCACATGCCCTCATTTTTTTTTTTTTGTCCCAGAGAGTACACAGGTCAATGTCCATAGCTCATGAATAACATAGTCCTGTATAAAGCTGTAAAAGAAATTCTCCAAGTTATCATCTGCATCATCTGCATCATGTTGCTTTCTAAGACATAACTGACAAGAAAATCTGACTTGAGAATTTAGAGCCAAACCACAGTACTGCTAGGCACACATGTATCCTTGAGGTCACATTTTATGAAGATTAAAGAATTGTGTGATAACGTTCAGGACTGAAACATTTCACTGTTGATTTTTCCTATAATTTCTGAGCAGACTCTGTTTTGTTAAGAGGATTACTATTTCCTCTCCTCCTATACTACTTATGAAAATAGTCTGAGTAGTAAATGAAAAACCAAACAATAACAGCAAATACTGAATAGTATAGATTAAAGGACTCAAAATAAGCAATTGTGGCATGGAAGAGTGCATCTTGTGCATGCTAAGTAAGCACCCTACCACTGAGCTATGTCTCAGCTCCTATTTGCTTTTAAAACAAATGAAACTGAAGACATGACATTTTAATATTAGATGCAAGGGCCTGGAGAGGTGGCTCAGTTGTTCACTGCACTGGCTGCTTTTACAGAGGATCCAGGTTTGATTCCCAGGACCCACACAGCAGCTAATAACCATCTATACTCCAGCTCCAGGGGATCCAATGCCCTCTTCTGACTTCTGCATTATACAGGTGCACATACATACATGTAGGCAATGCACTCATACACATAAGAAAATAAAAATAATAAATAAAACATTTTAAAATCAGATACAAGATATGTAGGGAGGAAAGTCAAACTTCATAAAACTCCAAGAGGACTTGAATACCCAGCACTAGAGAACCCAATTTCTAATAGTCATTTCAAAGGAGATAAAGACTGTCAGTAATTCTGAATCCTTTAAACTTGTTCCTCATTCTTCCCAGGAGTTCAACAGGAATTTCCACAAAAACAAGAAGTGTTCAGGGACTCCATGGTTTCCTTAGCATCATGCTTTGACCTGCAGGCTGAACTATGTTCCTCAGCCCCTCCTCTAATCCTCTATGAGAAGCCACCAGGATTTTCAGAATCCGAAGCCCTGAAGCTAAGTTGCAATTGATTCAAAACTCTGGTAGGATACTCCACTCCTTTGGCACAGGTTGGGAACAGTTCACATTAGTCCCCCACATCTATAAACTGGAAAGGACTCTCCCCATCCATCACCTATCTAAATCTTAGTAGTTAACAGATCCAAGCAGGCTTCATGTAAGGACACGGCCAGAAACATCCAGTACTGCTTTCCAATATGGTAGCCACCACTCTCTGGGAAGCTATTTGCATTTAAATTAATGTGGAATAAAAATCTAGCTCCACAGTCACATTGGCTACAGTCCAAGGGCTCCAAAAGCACAGTGACTAGACAACTATTTTTCTGGAAGAGTAGATACAGAACATTTTCAATATCACAGAAAATCTGTTGGACAGTACCAGTCAAAAATAAACATGGGGGCTGGAGAGACAGTTCAGCAGTTAAGAGCACTGGCTGCTCTTGCAGAGGACCTGGGTTTGGTTTCCAGCACCTATATGGCAGCTAACAACTGTTTATAACTCTAGTTCCTGGGGCTCTGAGGCCCACTTCTGACCTCTGTGGGCATTGTACAACACAGGTGCACTTACATACAGGCAAGTAATACACTCGAACACATAAAATAAAAAAAAAAATATTTAAAAATGTGTGTATATGCTTGATATAAAGATGACTATATGATGGTAGTAGGTTTTTATTTTTTTAAAAAAGAGAAATACGATTGCTTAGTATGGACCTAAGGCAAAGTATAAAATAAATGCTGGGTCTAGAAAAGAAGAAAAAAAAAACTTTACCAGTAATAATTTTTCAGTTATTGAAAGATAACAGAGGAAAAACTAAGATACTATTTGCTATCTGCTAAAAACTTATAATGGGCAAAACCACAGAAAAGAGAATAAAGTCCAAACAGATACAACTTTTATTTTTGTAAATTAACTTATGAAGATGGCGGGACACAGATAGACACAGGCTGTTCTTTGTGTGAGCATGCTCTCTGGGACTGTTAAGAAGGGATGCAGATTCAGTGTCTGTTCAGTGAACACAGGGGCCAGGAGAATTGACAGCCAGGACACTGAGGTTGATTTTATCTCATTCCCACAAAATGTGTTATCTGCTCTTCTGCAATGCAGACACCTGAGCACACACTGGTTGAAAAAAACTTTAAAAATTGACTCTAATAAAAGGAAACACCAAAATCACTGAGTTTGTTGTTGAAGCAATTTTTTTTTTTTTTGCTATTTTAGGGGTAACTTTTCAGAGTGGTTAGTATGATTAGAAGGCATCAAAGTTTATTCATTACCTATTAATTGAATAACCACTAAGTTGAAAAGTCCAAATACATCTATCAGAAAGATTGCCTCATCTCAGAGGGCACTCAAGTAAATAGCTGGGGGCTTGTTTTCTGTTTTCACTTGAGTGTGTGTGTGCATGTGTGTGTACCAGTGCATGGAACAGTATTTGATAAGACTGAGTTGGTTGACTGAATTGGATGGATGAAAGATGAGAAGATTATTTCTATATATGAATAAAGTAAACAGATATTAATAGCATAAAATGTAGAACAAGGCCCAACTAAACTAAGAATCTGACCCTCAGGGTAATGAGATCAGACACTGTTACTTTATCAAAGTGTCTGGATAATTGATTGGAAAGAATAATGGTGAGAAAAACATCAGCAGGAGATTAGAGTAGATTAATTCTAAAATAATCTAAACTGGTCCCAGAGACAGACTGAATTCAGGGTGAGTTGGCTACAGCAGTTTACAAGTTCCAGTAAAAAGAGGGGTTATTCATTTTCTTAATGAGAATTAAGCAATACTTAGGAAATTTCGACTTGAATAATGGAGTTAGTAAGACTGAGAAATAACTTTATTTGTAATGATTTTTTCATTACAGTTTTTTTTAGAAAATCATAAAACATTTAAATGCCCATTGCAAGAAATAAAGCAATAACTAAACAGAAAATAAAATGCCTTTTCCCTGTTCCATCTCCAATACCTTCTAACTGATTTCCTAAAGGGAGCTAGTATCATTAAAAGTTTGTATCTGTGTTTTAGGACATTTCTTGTGGTAAGATGTATATTTCTAGAGTATGCACAGGCTTATAAAATTTCTGGTGTGCACAATATACTCTTTTAACTTAGCATTACATAATGAGCATATTTTGAGTTGTCTCCATGGAAGTCATGTACCATGAGAGGCATTTTTAAAATACATGATATCTTAGCAGTCTTTCAGCAATAGAAGATGAAACATAATCATTCAATGGCCTTATCCTAATTAAAGAACATACCACACTGCAATTAACATCTATAATATAGTACTTAAGTTTTCTTTACTAAGCATCATTAGATTCAAAAAGTCAATCTGAATTTAGACACAGTGCTCCTCAGTTTATAATCCACATAGGAATTTTCTTTAATGTTGTATGACTTACGACATTTGTAAAGCTGCATTTATTTCCTTGAGTAGCTCATTAGTCTTATTAAAATCTGCCCGCATGATATTTTTCTCTCTGAGATGGTCTGCTGTCATGACATCCAGCTCTTTTTCAAGTCTCTTGTTTAAATCTTGTTCATGCAACCTGTTTAATTTATTTTTAGTTAAGAAAATGTTATTCTGAAGTCAAGTTTTCAATACTTCTATGTTCTACCAGATTTGAAATGCCTTTTTTAAAATTTTGTGAAATATATAGACAATTAATGCAAACAGCTTACGTTAAGCTACTTAGTTTGCCATAATCCTCTGGCTGGTGTTAAAGTTGTCTCCTTTAATGCTTTTTCTAATAATGTTCTTCAAATTTTATGTACAATCTCCAAAATTAATGAATATAAATACATCATCAAAATGCAGACATTTTCTCTGTTTTGTAGATTATATCATAGCCATTAGATATAATAAAACATGGTCTTTAATATCTTACTGGAAGGGCAGCTTATTCACAAAAATAGGAAGGCACGGCTAAGCATCTTTGCAACAGCTTTTCAGACAACAATGTATCTTCCTTCTGTTGTGATTATTGCATACCTCATCTGATGGTTAGATTCACTTCGTATTCTAAGAATTTCTTTCCCCTTAAGTTCCAATTCTTTTGTTAGGGCACTTATGTTCTCATGAAGGTGTTGTATTTCCTTATCCAAGTCAGAGATGTGACGTTCTCGGTGCCTTAATTCCTCTTGCAGATCTGTTATTCTACACATATGCTCCTTACCCTGTAAAATACAAATAATTCTACAAGTTTTCTATAGATTCACTTTCTGTGTTGATATGAGGAAAGAAAATGACATATCTGAATGTAATGTAATCATTCTGACATGGCTTCATAAACAAATTGCTCAAAATGAAAAAACTCAAGGTCATTTTCCTTCCATATAGCTACATGGATATAGTTTCAACAATATCAGGGTTGCAAGCAGTGCAAAAGATCATGAAAGCACATCTCATTTTGTAATGAGGAAATAAAGACTTAAGAACAGATTTGTCCAAAGACAATTTATAACCAAAGGCAGAGCCAAGATTAGAACACAGATCCTTAGTTAGCTGTATATAGTCTTGTAATAAAATGTTGGTACCATTGTCCTTTAATCTCAAAAACATCATCTATGGAGGCTTTCCAACACACACACACACACACACACACACACACACACACACAGAGTATTAGTCATTAATTGTTAATTGCCTCCTCCTGAATATGTGTTGACCTAGGGTCTTGCTTCTAATGAACTGAAAAAGTAAAGGTGATCTAATACCACATATGAAGTAAAAATGAAATGATGAAAATAGGTGGCTGGAGCAGGAGCAGCAGAAGCTAAGCTCTCACATCATCAAGCAGGCACAGGAAACAAGAGAGCAACTGGAGATCTGGCAAGGCTTAAGATCTCTCTAAGCCCACCCCCAGTGACATGCTTCCTCCAGGATAGCCACACCTTCTAAAACCTCCCAAAACAGCGCCATCATCTGGGGACAAAATGTCCAGATACTTGGAGCCTATGGGGGTGTCTTACAGGTGACTAATCTCTCCAAGGGACAGGGCCTGCTGCAGAGGATGGACTACTGAGGGGCTACTGGGAGCCAACTTGGGACAGAAGCTGCGAGCTGCGAGTAATGCAGGAGCGATGGGCATGGGGAATGTGCAGTAGCTGGGCATACTCAAGGACAGACTGGCCTGACACTTATGGACCTGGGGCAAGACAGCTGGCCCGAGGCGTGAGCCAATGCTAGTGGTGACTATGGGTATGCCATGCCCTGGGAGGGATGTGGTATGATGGGCTCTGAACTATGGCGCAGAGCAGGGCTGCCGGGAGCTGAGTGGCATGGAGCTAGGCACTGGGTGTTCCTTTCGTTGTAAGTCACTCCCCTCCCTCCCCCATGGTAATAATAAATGTACATAAAGATATGTTATATAGTTTGCCTGACGGTGCAAGAGATCCCGAGAGAACTCTGGCAACAGGGGGACATTTTCATTCAAACCACTGTGTGCGTGCGCGTGTGCACACACACACACACACACACTCCATTGTTTTAATAGGCATACTCTGCCAGCTTTTAGTGCTGCTCTAGCAGTTATCTGATAACTTCCATCTCTCTGAAAGTCCATGTTTTCTGCAACTCCGTAAGCCTAGACACCAATTTTACTCTTTATGCATAGCTGAAAAGGGTGACTTCCCTCCATGGTGACAAGCTGATTCATTCAAAGCTTTCTAGCAATGAACAGCAAATCTGAGCTGATCATTTAACATAGGTGAAGCAACAAGGCAAATGTTCTAAGTCTAATAAACTAATAAATAACCTCCATTGCTTACTACTTAGAATTCCAGCCTTCCACACACATATACCTTTACAATCACAAATTAGCAAATTAAAGGAAAGTACACTGAGCTAAAGAGCAAAGTTTTAAGTATAAGCAGTGGCTGGCCTAGTATGCTACGGAAATGTTATCTTTTTTCTTCCTCACACCTACTCCCCTTCTATAGTTGTGCCATCCAATGTAACTGTTTACTTCATTTAAATTAATTAAATTCAATGAAATTGAAAATGTAGTTTCTTGGTTGCACTAACCATACTTGGCCCACATGACTACCAACTACCACAGTGGACATCCCAGTCACAGAACAGTATGTCATCATGGTAGTCCTCCTGGATAATGCTCACTCACCCTTCATACATTTTCTGAATGTCATTGTTTCTTTTTCTAAGATACAAACAAAATTCAAAATACTCAAAAGGTCATGAAATGCAATTTTATAATCAGTGTACCAAAGTAGAATTGCTTATTTCTCTTGAAAAAGAACACTCTTCATTATATAGTAGATAATAAGTAGTGAAATTAGTATTTCAAAGTAATTTTCAAAATACTGTGCACACTGTATGTACATATGTTTAGGAATCAGCACAGAGTAGGACAGCCATACTCACCTGCCTTCGACTGATGTCTATGCTTCTCTCCAATTCCATCTTGGCAGCAGCCAGTTCTTGATGGTGATTATGCCGTAACAAATCAATTGCAGCTGCATGTTGATGGTTTAGTTCAGAGCGTAAAGAAGCTGGGATGCAGAGAAAAAAGTTAGCAAATTTCAAAATGGTTAGCCAGTCCTTTGATCCTAGCACTTGAGAGGCAGAGGCAGGCAGACTGAGATGGAGGCCGGCCTGGTCTACATTGCCAGTTCCAGGCCAGCTGGGGCTACAGGGAGACCCTGTCTCAACTCCGCCCCCACAAAAATGCAAAACAATTACCGATGCATTAGAAAATCTATAAAAGTCTCAGAACATTATTTTAAAAATTAGGATGCCAGTAAATGTCCACTAAACAGACTAACATCCTATCATGAATTTGAAATCCACTTAGCTTTGATGAGAATAAAAATGTGAAGTGCAAAAGTGATAAAGTATTTTTATATGTGATTTCAGTTTGAAGATAAAGTATTAATGGAAATGAAATGCTTTGACTGATTTATTTATTTATTTATTTATTTATTTTGAGACAGGGTCTCCCTGTAGTCCCAGCTGGCCTGGAACTCTCTATGTAGACCAGGCTGGCCTCGAACTCATGGAGATCCGCCTGCCTCTGCCTCCCAAGTGCTGGGATTAAAGGTGTGTGCCACCACGCCTGGCGACTGTTTTATTTTTAAGATAATAAAGATTTTAGTGTTGTACCATAATATCTAGGAGACAACTTTCCTTCCAAGTAAGAATTCTTTCACAATATTCCTAGAACATGCAACACACTGGCTGGTAAGTGCTTTCAACGATGTGAAGGGCATAACATTTGTTTGAGTTTGGAATTGTTTTTAACTTTTACTATTTTTTAAATGTTTTGAGACAGGGTCTTATGTACCCCAGGCTGGCCTAGAATTCATTGTGCAGTGGAAACCCTGAACTCTTGATTCTCCTGCTTCTGTCTCCCAAGTGCTGGACTACAGGCATGTGCTGGCATGTATTACCATGCCTGGCTCTGGAGTCGATTATTTCATAGACTCTATAAAGATTTATAGAATGGCAGACAACATTATCCAAAGGGAGAAAAAAATATGACAGTGTCTTTATAACTGCACACGCCCAAGGAAAGGACATTACACCAGGGAACTAAGTGGGCTACCTGAGGTAACAGTAGGTATAATGAAAACAGTGCAGGAAACAGAGATGGAGATGCTATCCTAGAGAGAGATTATCACAGGAACTTGGTCTATAAGACTGAAGGACTGAGCTGGAGCTCTCCAAGTAAAGAAGGAACACCTTTCATAGAGAAGAAACAGGCAAAGAAGACAGAGCCTGGTCTGACAAAACGTGAGGTCTGATATGGAAGGAAGCCACTGTGCACACAGCAACATAGGAAAGGAAATAGAACCCAGACTGATGAAAGTTAGTTCAAAATGGGTTCTGCTTTAACCTTAGGCCCACGGTTCTCAAATTAGGTTATGAGTGGCAGTGTTCCTAATGGAACTTAGAGATTACATGTGGTCCATCAACTCCTTAAACATGAAGTTTACTTGAACATTTAAAATATTAGTATGAATAGAGATTAAATGAGGAGAATGTAAATGATAAATTTTAAACCTAAAACATGAAGCTTTAGAGAAATGCTTCCCTGTAGTTAGCCAATTTAGGTTCCTCTTGAGGCCTTCATAGAAAGCGTAAGTTCAGTTTTCCCTAGTGTTAAGGGTTTTTTTAGTGGAAAAACTTGCCAGGCACCGAGTAAGACATGGAGAACCACGGAAGGACTTGCAGTGGGACGTCCTGTGTGAGGTTTATGCATTGCAAAGTTTTCTCATACTGCAGACCAGAGGATGCACTGCAGGAAGGGAGGGCAACTGGAAAGTCATGACAATAATTCAGGGAAGAAATGTTGCAGCCTTGAAATGAGCATGACTGAAGGACTAAACAAGAGGAAAGAGATACAAGAAAGATCTGAGATGAACTAACAGGATGTGGTAAGGAAAGAAAAAATGCTGGATCTCACCCCTTTTTCTTAGTTTGGCAACTAAGTGAAGTGATTAATCAGAGGGAAGTACAGGTATGGATTTATACTTTGGACCATAGGGAGGCAGTAAGATCATATTTTAAAATGGTGAGTATATAATATAACATCTAACTTCTCAACATGTAGTAACGAATACAAATTTAATACACAAAACAAGAGGTTAGATCTGGAAATACACATTTGAAATCCCCAGCGCATAGGTGATACCTGAAGCCAAGTGGAGCCATCAGAAGGAAAGACTGAAGACTAAAACACATACAGAAGAATAGAACTGAATTACAGGAAAAGCATTATTTAATGGACACATGGGGAAGCAGGACTGGCAAATGAGATTAAAGGATAGAGGCCAAGTAGAGTACAGAGAAGATACATACTAATATGGAAAATAAGTGCAAAAAGACTCAAAACAGCAGCAACCAAAGGGCCCAGATGTGCACACAGGAAAAACAAGATGGGCACTAAGGGAGGGAGGATAACTCAGATGTCAATCTTGACCCCAGGGAGAATGTTTTCATGGGAATGATAGGGTAAAAAATACTTGAAGAATCCTGAGAAAGGACTAGTATCTATAATGCATAATGAACATTCAAAACTCAACAGCAAAGATGAACAATCTAATGAGAAAAGATGACAGATGATGAGAATATGAAAAATACTCAATTCTATTATTATTAGGGAAATGCAAATTAAAACTATAATGAGACATTACTATACTCATCAGATTAGTTAACATACAGCCACAACATCAAATATTGGTGAAATGTGAGGGAAGTGGGTCATTCATGCAAGGATAGTGGACTGCAAAATGATACAGCCATTCTGAAGAACAGTGTGGCAAGGTCTTAAAAAATACATTACTAGCCAGGTGTGGTGGTGCACACCTTTAATCCCAGCACTCAGGAGGCAGGCGGATCTCCGCGAGATCGAGGCCAGCCTGGTCTACAAAGTGAGTTCCAGGCTAGTCTCAAAAAGGACCAAAAAAAAAAAAAAAAACAAACCCAAAACATTACTACATGACCTAGAAACCTCACTCTTAGCTTTTACTCCAGATAAGCATAAACTTGTATTTGCATAAAAAACATACACATAAATGTTTGCATGAATGTAACAGACAAACGGAAAGTCCAGATAACCTTTGATGAGTAAAGGACAACAAACAGTCGTGTGTTGATACTGTGGACTACTACTTGGAAAAGGTGGTTTCTAATGGTTAGCTATTGTATGATTCCATTTCTAAAACTCATAGCATTCTCAAAATGACAAAACTGTAGAAATGGAGAAGAGATTAAGCATTGCCAGGAATTCCAGGCAGGAAAGACAGGGAAGTAGGTGTGGCTAAACATGAACATGAGGGATCTGCACAGTGACATAAATGTTCTGTATATTAATATCATTGTCAATATACTGGTTATATTTTACTATAGTTTTACAGGAGGCTACCATATGGAAATAGGGACAGGGATGTGGGCATCTTTTTGTATTATTTCTTTTCTTTTTGAGATGTAGCCCTAGCTGGTTTGGAACTCATTATGTAGATCAGGCTGGTCTGGATTCACAGAGATCCGCTTGTGCCTTCCAAGTGGTAGGATAAAACGTGTGCACCACCACGCCTGGCCAATATTATTTCCTTCTAAAATTCTCTTTTATTTTCTTTTTTAAAAAAGATTTATTTTCTTTTTATTTGTGTGTGTGTGTGTGTGCACGTGTGTGCGTGCGTGCGTGCGTGCGTGTGTGTGTGTGTGTGTGTGTATACGTGCAGGTATCGCTTGTGCCTTCCAAGTGGTAGGATAAAACGTGTGCACCACCACGCCTGGCCAATATTATTTCCTTCTAAAATTCTCTTTTATTTTCTTTTTTAAAAAAGATTTATTTTCTTTTTATTTGTGTGTGTGTGTGTGTGCACGTGTGTGCGTGCGTGCGTGTGTGTGTGTGTGTGTGTGTGTGTGTGTATACGTGCAGGTACCCAGAGGCCAGGAGAAGGCACTGGATCCACTGGAGCTGGAGTTATATGCAGTTGTGTGCTACTGAATGTTGGTGCTGGGATTCAAATTCTGCTCCTCTGCAAGAGCAGCAAGTGCTGTTAACGACTGAGCCGTCTCTCCAGACCCACCCTATTCTTTTTATATCTTAAAACTGTATGTGTAGCTGCCATTATCTAAAAAAGAAAATCTTTTTTAGAAATTCCCAAAGTCCTCTTTCAATACACTGGTATTTAAGTTATGTTTCAATGGATTAAACAATAGTTTTAATACTTGGCTGTTTTAATCTCACCTCACACAGCTGTGGAAACTATACCCCTCTTTGGTCATAATTTTACAAAGGCAAGTTACCTCTGCTTTTGACTGTCATTCTTTGCAAAGCCAGAGCAGAATTTCATTTTTAATAAAACCTCACAGCCTAATGTTAGCATATAATTATGCATTTCACAAATCCTTGGTTACTGTTCATCCTTAAGAGTACTTGATGCTAGGTATGACAGTGGCTTCTCAAGAGGGAAGAGGAGAAAACTACGACATCTCAGACTAGGATTCCAGCTGCAGTACGGTAGGAAAGGGTCAATGGCTTCCCTTTGAGTTCCGAATGTTCACATCATGTTAGTTTTCTTTGTTCCAAATTCCTATTTGGTAAGAATGTGCAATGAAGTGTGACAAACACAAATGAAAAAATATCAGGAGAATTTGGAATCAACCCAAACAGAAGGAAAATAAGATGATGGGAATAAAAAGTTATCTAATGACACTAAAAACAAAACCACAAATATTTAAGTACACATCTAATTTTCTCTTTAAAATTTGGCTCATTATACAAAAAAAAATTCATAGGTAAGACTCCCATAATGAAATGTACTTCAATAAAAAGGCTAGTTGACCTAGTTGTGACTTTTCTCATCAAAATGATATCCTAAAGTAGAAATGCAATGTGATCATGAGGTCCAAGCCATGAGCCATATGTGGGTGCATTTGGGCTACCAGCCAGTGGCTGATTCATGGGATGCCTGAGGGTCCTGCTTCCACTTAGTCCCATGAGCATAGGAGAAAGCACCAGTGAGCATCGCTCCCCAGAGTGCAGAGGAAGAGGAGGCGACCTCTAATGTACCTTCCTTGCCTCTTCACAGGGCAGCATCAAATAGTCTTGACTCAGTCATCTTGATGTTCCAAAATTTAAAGATAGAACTTGTAATTGATGTTGAGTTTTACAATGGAAGAAGTACAAATAAACACAAGATTATAATCCCTTCCAAAATACCAAGCATAGCCTTTCCTTCATCTTCTAATTCAAAGCGAAGAGTCTGAAGCTCCTGCTCCATCTCGACTCGGAAGCCCTCCATTGACTCTCGGTGCGCGTCTTTCAGTGACTGGAGTTCTGCAGAATGTTTCTGCTGTAAATGATTTTCAAGAGCCTAGACAGGAGAAGCAAATCCAAATTATGCTAGAACGTAGGATGGAAATGCAAACAAAACAGAAAATTGCTATGAGAACCTAGTTAGTAGTTAAGAAGTTTAAACTATCTTAGTTCATTTCATGAAAATTAGATATAAGGTAAGCATAATTGGAAAAATGAGTAAGGTCAATGTAGTAGAAAAAATGAATTATTTTGAAACCAATCTGATTCAACATATTTTGTTGAAGTTGGAAATAAAGACTCCGCAGTTTTCAAATAAAATCACTTTCTAAAGCTGCTAAGGGCACAAACTATCTGAAATTAACGAATAATTACTGTGTATACATACAGACTTATGAGAGGAGGAGGAAAAGAGGAGGGGGAAGAGGAGGAGGAGGAGGACCTTTCTTATTAGGGAAAGAATAAAAAGGGTATTTTTAAACTATAAGAAATTCACTTTGTTGGGGCTGGAAAGATGACTCAGAGGTTAAGAACACTTGCAGAAGACCTGGGTTCAAATCCCAGCACCCACATGGTAGCTAACAACTGTCTGTAACTCCAGTCCCAGGGGATCCGACAGCCTCTTCTGATCTCCGAGGGCATTGCATGACATGGGTGCACTTACCTACAGGCAATATACACATACAGACAAAAAAAAAAGTTTAAAAATTCACTTTTTTATAACAAACTCACAAATGTCAACATCACGCAGCTAAATTAAGGCAGCCACTGAAACACTTGCTCAGCTCCAAACTCTATACATTTTAATGAACTTCTATACAGTTAGAACGGTCGTTCTGAAGCCCTGGAGCTTCACTTAGGGTTTTACACTTACACTATCAATTATACTTTTATGCAATTATCCACCACATAAAAAAAGAAAAACTATGACACAGCTGAATTAGAAAGCAATCAGCTTTCTGTCTTCTTTCAAGGCTCATGTGTCCTTTACCTGCATTCTGTCCGTCCTCATCACCTAATATCCTCCTTTTGGTCCTATTTCTTAATGTTATACCATACCCACACTTAGAGCTATTTATTTACATTGAGATATATACGGATTATAGGATCCATGTATGAGGCACAGCATGAGGTTTTTTTCTTTCTGAGTTTGGGTGACCTTGCTTAATATTACTTTCTAAGTCTGCCCATTTCCTATGCACTACTGTTCTGTGTACTTGTTCCCTGCCTGGTGATTCTGTTTTGAAGGCTGTGGGAACCTTCAGGAAGAGGGGCACCTGGCAGAAGAAAGTAGACTATAAGTTACAGCTTGGGCCCTGGTTATGGCTTTCTCTCTGCTTCCTGGTCTGCCATGGTATGGGGAACTCCACCATGCCTTCCCCTGTCAGATGAACTGAGACAACCTGATACCATGAGCCCAAATACACCTTTCCTTTCTTAAGTGATTCTGTGTTGTAGAATTCCGTCGTCAGCACAGCATGGCCACTGCTATATTGAAATCATAGCAGCTGTGATTACCCAAAGGAGGCCTTACAAGATTAGGCTCATTAACATTCCTTATGGAGGGAGGGAAGAAGAGCTCACAAGGCCCATGAGCAGCACTTGAAGCAGCTCACAAGATCCCTCCCTGAGGATGCATAGGTGGTTAATAGGTTCTGGTTCATTTTTCTTCGGACATGCAGCCACACATAAATTGCTTATGTCCCTATAAATAACCCAATTAAACTCATTGGCTCACAGACCTAGACTTGGGTGGAACTGTTTTCTTGGTTTGTTGTTGGTGCTCTTTCTGCAGTGAGCAGATGTTTTGCTCATGTCTCCCCAGGAAAAGTTAACATAACATTCTGTCAGGTATTCTGTCACAGTGACATAAAAGCGTTTAAAAAAAGCCTAATACACAAAAGGCTAAAGCAGGTTTTCATATTATTGGTTTAAAAAGTCTAGCTAGAGATAGAAAACTATACATTGCTAAGGGAAAACATATGACCTTGGAGGGGGGAACAGAGCCAGGTGCTTAAGGTTGAGACATGGATTGTACCAGGATTTTGTTGCTTGTTTTATTATAATTTCTAAACTAAAAAAAATTGTGAGAACTACACTTATCCTAACTAAGGCTGTACTTCTTTAATGGAAAAATGCTGTTTAAAAAATCTGGTATTTGGCTACTTAGGCTCACTGTTTTGAAAATGAAATGTGAATTTCTTTAAATAATAGGTAAAGGACTTTTAATTTAGACAATAGTTACAAATAGGTATCGCAACTACCTAATGACTGAACAGTAAAATTTTAGGTTCTGATTTCTTATGAAAAATAAAGTGATTAAAAAATTCCAAATGTGCAACGTGAAAGTATTAAGAGAGCTCTTGTGTTATTTCAATATATATAAAAGCATTCAACAGACCTTGTGAGATATGGGCCCTGACATGGGTGCTGGGAATCAAACTTGGGTTCTCTGTAAGAGCAGTGCATGTTTCTAACCACTGTGCCATCTCTGAGACATGGTTTCATGTGGCCCACCTTGGACTTTTGAATTTGCTATATAACTAAGGACGACATTGAACTCCTGATCCTTCTGCTTCTATTTCCTAAGTGCTGGGATTACAGGTATGCACCACCATGCTCAGCCTTTCAGGCTATTTTTAACTAAAGGGATCTCTTTGAAATCCTGATCCTCCTGGCTCCAGCCTAGGCTACAGAGTCAGTTCTAGGCTAGCCTGGGCATACTAGAATCTGTCTCAAAAAACTAATAAAAGATTTTTATTATAATAATGCTATATTATTAGAATGGTTACAGTTCTATAGAGTCACACCAAGAGATGTGACTAAGTTTATTTGACAATTGTTAATTATTAAGAAGCCAGAGAGTATGCCTGGCTTGACACTATGATCAGAAACAAAGAAATGTTGGCTCTAGTTTAATCTGTCTGCTATTATATATAGTTAGAGTATATATACTTAATCACTGTGCCCCCCCCTCATAGGAAGTCACATTCTGAAAAGCATTTAAATAAAGTAATATAGAATGTTTTAGAGAAAAAAAAAGGAATTGCTTTTATGAAGGTTCATTTTTCTGTTTTTTTTTGGTCTCTTTAAGACAGGGTCTCCCAATAGCCCCAGCTGGCCTGGAACTCACTCTGTAGACCAGCCTGGCCTTGAACTCACAGAGATCTGCCTGCCTCTGCCTCCCAAGTGCTGGGATTAAAGGCATGTGCCACCACACTGGGCTTGAAGGTTAATTATTCCAAGGCCCTTGGAAAACTTCTGAACTTTTCAGAACATGCCAGGAACCTCACCCTCTGTTCCTTTTCCTTTTCTTCTTCCATGGTTTGAAATGCCAGGACGTGAGCTTCTTTCAGGGATTTATGCCTTTGCTGATGCTGTTCCTCCAGTTCTTCTAGCTCTTGTGTAAGCCGCTGCCGCTCTTGTGTAAACTGGGCTTGCAGCTGTTGCAAAGACGTCTGAGACTGGGAAAGCTGTGTCTCCAGATTCTGCTTCAGCAGGGATATCTACGCCACAGAACAACACAAATGAAAAGCAAGCACAAGGTGCAGTTCACAGGCTGCCCATCTATGGGCAAAATGCAGGCTAGATACACTTTATCAAATAATAATCTTTAGCTTAAAATGGTTTATGATAGAAATCTAATTTAAAAAATTTATTCCTTACTATTGGGTGTATGTATGATGATGTGGAGGTCAGAGGACAACTCTGTGGAGTCAGGTCTCTTTTTCTACCTTTACACAGGTTCCGGGAATTAAACTCAGGTTGTCAAGGCTTGCATGGCAGGCACTCTACCTGCCTGCTGAGCCCTCTCACCAGCCCCAAAATCTAATCTTTAGTTATCGCCAATTTAAGCAGCATCAGTTTAAATCTGTTTTCAGTAGTTACTTGGAAATAGACAGGTTAGCTGTAGTCCTTATAGAATAATATGGAACTTGTAACCCACATTTAGAAATTCAATGTCCACCTAATGTTGTGGTACAATTAACATTCATAACATGAAAGAAGACAGAAGGCAACTAACACTGTTGTAAGGTTATACTCATTTTGTGGAGATAATATTAAAAGTTAAACTGCTTATCTGTGAAGTAGTTAAGCACTGTGGGATGGGTGAGTTCCCATACCTCCAGTCAGAACAGCTCCTGGCATGTAAGAAGCACTCAGTAATTGTTAGCTAAAATTATTTGAGGATTGGAAGATCTGCTGTTTTGAAAGGTTTGTCAGTTTATAACTTTTCAAAATATGCTTGTGTGAGTATATGCTATGTGTCTTCAGGTACCCAGGCCAGAAGAGGGCATTGAATCACCTGGAGCTGTTGTTACAGGCAGTTGCTAGCCTCCTGAACTGGGTTCTGGGAACTAAACTCAGGTCCTCTGGAAGAGCAGCAAGTACTCTTAACCATTGAGCCATGTCTGCAGCACCCTACAGTCTGTAATTTAAAACCCTCAGTAAACCACTTTTATTGGGATGTTTATTTTTATATTTTGAAATGTTTGCATTTTGATTTAATTCAAGGTCTTGCAAACCTCTAAGCTTTAAATTTTTTAAATTAATTTTTATTTTATGCATATGAGTGTTTTGTCTGTATGTATATAAGTATACCACATACATGCAGTACCTGCAGAAGACAGAAGAGGGCATTGGATCCCCTGGAATTGGAATTATGGACAGTTAGCTGCAATGTGGGTGCTGAGAACCAAACCCAGGTCCTCTGCAAGAGTGGCCAGTGCTCTTAACCACTGAGACATCTCTACAGTCCCAAACTTCTGAATTTTTAAAGAAGCATAATCACCCCTCAGTCCTCCAGTTATATATTTATAATAATGTCAGGTACTTTTCTTTTGCAGTGGAAAATGGTTTGTCATTCCTTTTGAAAACAAACATCAGTCTTAATACCACAAAAATCATTTCTGGATATTTTAATATATTTAAAATGAAACCTTTTCTAAGAATAAAAAGCATGTTGAATATAGATAAGTGTTGTATATATGTATATATTTATATACAGGCAGTTGATGAAACCATTTAATTTGATCTATTTCTGTTCTCATATACAGGCTACAACTGTAACTTGAAACCACGTTAACCTTACTCTAGAAGTGTAAAGCTAAGAGGACCTTAGGGGATCCATATAAAAAGTTGTAAAATGTCCCATAAACAGCTCAAGGCACTCTGTTCATTAACATGCAAGCAAAACACCTCTGTGGCCAAGAAAGGTGATAGAAGGAGAAACTCTACAGTGAATGCTTTTTAATGGGAAAAGACTTGATTTAAGGGTGGTAGCTACGGGCTGCTTCATGTATCTCACAAAATGTCTGAGAAAGAAGAGGAGAGTGGGAAGTCACCAGAGATGCGAAGCAAGACAAGAGGAAAGAACCCCTCGGTGGCCAACACCCAACAGGGAAGGTCAAAAATAAGTAGCCGTCTCCATTTACAGCAGCAGGAACAGTCACTACAGTGAGCTGCTCTGCAACATTAGCTACATGGAAGAGTTTGGGACAACGTTATAAACAAGATTAGTTGGAAAAGCTAGCAGATGCCTTTATAGAAATAGTCAAGCCTATTAAGAACTGGAAACAACCGACAGATGTTCCGTCTGTTCTAATGTATTTCCAAAACAGTGATTCTACCTGTTGAAATTTTATGAATCGAATTACTTACTAATTTTTACACAAGAATAAGTTTCAGAGATTTTTTATGTTTCTGCCATCTCTCCAGCCCCCTTAACTTTTTTTTTTTTTTTTTTTTTTTTTTTTAAAACAGGGTCTCACTGTGTAGTCCAGGCTGGCCTGGAACTTACTTGTAGCCCAAGCTAGTCTCAAACTTGTGGTAATTCTCCTATCTTGATGTTGGTAGAAAGCTGATTGCTTCACAGCGCTGTGTTTTATTTTCTGTGGCATTTATTTTAAAAGTTTACTGCATCAGTGCACCTCACATTGTGTTAATTAGACCACAATTATGTCAAATTGACCACAATTATGTCAAATTGTGTTAATTTGACTAGTCAAATTTGACTAGTTTGACTCATACCTGAGTCAAATACTAACTTGGGTTGAGTGTTGGGATTACCAGTGTGATCCATTAGGCCTGGCTAACTTCTTATAACTCTAAATGGTAGCAGGACCATGATTCACAGACTGAAATAAGCCCTGTAAGGTAAAAATGAATGAAAATGCCCCTGCAATAGCTAGGGTTATACTTATGGATAAGATTGTACTTAATTTAATCACTATTTTATGCAAGGAAAATCAAGATGAAATAAATAAATACTAAGGAGGACCCAGAAGAGATACATCATAAAGGGGAACAGGTAATCATGACTGAATACTGATCTCTAACTGGCAGAGCCATTTTCTGCTCAGTCAGCTGGTTCTTGAAACAGAAAAGGTACCTACCCACTCTCTTCCAAGTTCAACCCTCGCCTCATCCTCAGCATGAACCCACAGTAACTGCTTTGCTTCCCTCTGGGGTTAATGGTTAACGTGTTAGAGTATATATGGGAAAGCTGGGGAAAGTCTGTGTTACATGTAGAATGACAATTGATATTTTCAAAGCTCTTCCATAGCACTTGATGAAGTGGGAACTAAAATCAAGCATTCTGCTGTCCAAGCTATCCACCCTTGCACAGTTCGTGTTCACCCAGAAAGGACAGACAGAATTTTGTGCTTTTCCCAAAGGTACCATTTGATCTTGGATCTTATCCTCTAATTGCATGTGCACTTGGGTTAGTAAGAAGCTAATCACTTCACAGTGGTGTTTTATTTTTTGCGATATCTACTTTAAAAGTTTATTGCATCAGTTTATCTCCACTTGTGTTAACTGGACCACAAGTGTGTCAAATTGTGTTAATTTAATTGCAGCTGGACTCACACTTGAAACTTAAAAAGAAATATATCATTAAAGTAAATGAATTACCATGTTAATATAATTATACAATTAAACATTTAAACTTTGTCCAGCTTTAACATTTTGCATAATATACTTTACCTTAAAAGAACTCTGAGTGATTTCCAACTTAGTATGCATGATTAATAGTTGCATTTACATTTCAGAAAATACTATACACTATGTGCAGAAAGATACCATGCAATTAGTACTCAAATACACTCATTTTGTATTGTTAACTTTGAAGACAAACAAAATCTAAACTCTTGAATTCATGCTCAATATAGTAACGTGTATTATATGCAGAAAGCCTTAGTCATGCAATGCAGCACTGCAAGTAAAACAATAAATTAGTAGAATGCCAATCCATAAATCAGCCTTTACTTAGCAGGAAAATTGCATGGCATTTTAAAAGACAGAAAATGAGCAAGACAGTGTAAAACGAACTAGTATTTTATAACTATAATTTAAGCATCTGAGTTTCATATATTTTATACAAATACATAACATTAAATTGAATTAAAAAGAAAAGAGAACAAGGATGGAGCTTGCATTAAAAGTTTGGTCAACATTACTGTAGAAACTCTAGAATGACATTGACTGAACATCAATGAGAAATAGTTACTTTGAATTATGTACTATATTCAATTTAAGTAATACACAGTATTAGTATCTATGCATGTTCTAATTTAACTGTTTAAATATATTTACTAATTTAAGATAAATAAGAGAATCTTTATTTCAGAAAAAAATAAACCTTATTTTAAAAATTCTTACCAATGAATCTAAGCCTGAATTATGTCATGTATTCTACTGATAAACAGGTACTAGATATTTTGTGAACAATTTTTAAAAGTTAAACTACATTAACAGTAATTGTCATCTTCTGATCTCTCCCACTTAAAATACTATTATCTGTTTGAGGAAAATAGTTTTACTATCTTTTTATAAAATATGATATTAAAAACAGAATCTTGTAGAAATGTCAAAAAGAGAAAACAATAAAATATATGACTACCTTTTTAACAAGAAGTGTTACCTCTTTCTCTAAAGCAATTTCACCAGGGTCCTGTACCTCTATCATGTGTTTGAAGAAATTTTTCAAAATAACTGAAACAAATATAGTAATGTAACAATTTAATATATTTGTCTTTTATTGTTAACTCTAAAAGCACATAAATTCTAAAATCAAATGTAGGGTGCTGGATATGACCAGATGTCAACATGGGCATGTCGTTAACTCTGTACATTTTACCTACAAATTTTGGTGTTTAATGTGATGTTGGTGTTTTTATGCCCTTAATCCGTCTTATACAGTAATTACAGAACACACAAAGTATACAATATCCTCAAAAGGAAGCATATCTTTTTATTTATTTATTTATTTATTTATTTATTTAATGTGTAGGGGTATTTTGCCTACATGCTTGTAAGTGCATCCATGTCATGCAGAGCCTGTGGGGGCCAGAAGAACGTGTCAGATCCCCTGGAACTAGAGTTATGAACCGTTGTTAGCTGCCCTGTGGGTGCTGGGAATTGAACCTGGGTCCTCTGGCAAAGCAGCCAGTGCTCTTAACCAATGAGTCATCTCTCCAGCCCCATCTTGAACTAGTCAATGTCC